TATCATAAAAAATATTGGACATTTAAAGCCATGCATAAAAACCTAAACAGAAAACATATCGCAAGCCAAGTAATATCTGTTGGATTAGTAGTCGCCGGTACAGTAACAGGAGAAATCACTTTAAACCCAGTAATATTAGGAGCAGTATCTGGTCCAGGGATCATTCTAAAGACATTTATAGAATTGAAAAATTACCAAAAAGAGATTGAAATGTGCAAATTCGCCTTCACCTCATACCAAAAGATATTAATTGAATTAAGATCTTATTTGAATTGTTTTATTTTTCCAAGATGCTAGGATCAGATGCAAACTATGCCACCAGAAGTTTAAAACACAAGAAACATTAAATACTCACAAAAGAATCATACATCGGATTGAATTTAAGATAATTATACTTCAAAACATGGTAATCAATAAAATCAATTATTTTGTTTAAATCATTGCTAACGACGTAATTATCTTTATTCTCTACTATTTTTCTGAATTGTATCTGTTCTGGCCTTATTTCGATCTTTTACCTGGCTTCTTTAACTCACAATAAATGACCTTTTCATCGTTTATAATGATGATAAGATCAGTAATTCCTTTATGGTAAATTTTTCGCATTTTTTTATTCCTTCCAAGAAGTTCACCAAAAGTATGAACTATTAATACATTTAGGTTGTTTTCATAATGTTCGAATATAGACATCATTAAATCATATTCACTCATATTAATTAGTTTCTTAATTTTTTCACTGTCTTTCTCTGTTTTGATTTTAACAATAATTCACCATAAGTTTCATAAACTGGTTCTAAAAATGTTTCATTCTCAACCAAAACGAAAACAAATCTGTCTTTTGATAAAGTTGATAAATATTGAAACAACTGTTCTTGATTAACAGTTTCTTTGTTTATTTTTATTACCATTGTAAATTCAATTTTTTCTTTCTTGTAATTACTTATTTAAATTTTGTTGCTCTTGCTGATGGTGGAAAAAGAATTATTCCTCCCCCACCTTCATCCTTTATTTCATCTATCAATTCTTTACAAGCTTTTATGAAATACAAATTTTCACAATTAAAAGTTTCTATGTTTTAAATTAATTTTTTTGCCATTATATATATTATATAATTATTTCAATTTTCTTCATCAGACGTTTCTTCGTCTTCAGTTGTTTCTTCATCAGCTGTTTTGTATTAAAAATCAGATGGAATATATTCTTAGTCTGATGTTTCACTTTCACTATCAGTCTCTTCATATTCGTCGTCAGAAGTGTCATATGGAATTTTGTAAATTGGTTTTTTCATATAATAAGATTATATTATTTAAACTATAGATATGGAAGAAAATTATTCAAATGAAAAAATTATGGAAGAATTGAATTTAAGGGACGTAATTTTTAAAGAATTAAACAGTAATCATTTTCTTATTCAATTTAAACATAATGATTTTCGATATGAATTCACATTTAGTTATGATGAAGATGATGGTTGGAATGATCATTCAAAAAAAGGACAAGCTGAAACGAATGTAGATAATGGAGACAACATAGATGGATATTTTTACTTTGATAATTTGGATGTCATTCACTTCACTTTATTAAAAAGAATTATAAAGCATATCTAATATTAATAAATGATGGAGCAAATATAGGATCAATTTTCGGGATTGAAACAACTCCATCTGACGTATACATTCAGTTTTTATTTACATGAAGATGGATTTGAACATTTCACCTAAACAAAAACCAATATAAGAAAAGATCCAACCAAAAAATAAAGACAAAATAACCAAATAAAAAAAAAAGGTAAATAGCCAAAATCTTAACAATTCATAGTTTTATAATGTCCATATGCTAAACTATTAATACCATCATTGAGAATATATCTCTTATCATCAAAACAACTTAGTGATACTTTATTCAACTCATAAGTACCTGATTGGTGGTTTTGGCTTCTGATTGTTTTCATCTTATAATGCATTTGTTTGTCATTAAATAAAACATCTTTGTAATTTTCATGTTTGATATCTTTTTTAATTACAACTTTTTTGATTCCTTTAGCTGTTCTACTATCTTTACCATTATCTTTAATATAACTATACATCTTTGATCTCAGGCCAACAAATTCAACTATTGGAATACCAGCAGCTTCATCTTTCATTTTACCAATAACTTTCTTGTTTTCTTTGTTAAAGTATTGTGAAGATTCATCGTAATCACTGTTGTCAAACATATCTCTATTCTTCCAAAAATCTTTGTAAACATCTTCTGCTTCAATCTGACAAGTTAATGAGTCAGTGTCTGTGAATAACAACTTTGCTTTATCTCCATACTTTTCCTTGATATAATTGTAATGGAAATCATACATTAATGTCTTTGAAAGATCAAGAATACACATTCCAACAAAAGCTGGTCGATTTAGAGTTGTTTCTTTTATCTTATGAACAGCAACAAGATTCTCATTGAATATTTTACTTGACACAAATGTTGGTCTAGATGCTAATTTCAACAGCTTATTCTCGTTAGTGACAAGTCTTACATCAACACGCTTTCTAAGATTTTCCATCATCTTTCCAAATACAGAATTATTCATCAGTTTGAAAAAGTCTTTCTCAAAAGCATTCTTAGCTTGAGTTCTCTTGTGTATTAAAGTCGATGTATTGTTTTAACCAGGGTGACTGATTAAATTCAAGTGCTCTATGAACTTTTTTTTATTTCATTCCAAGGTCGAGATATAATTGAAGATTTCGGTAATGTAGAACGTATTTCTCTTTGTTTGATAATGTTGGGATCAATTTTGATACAAGACCTGTTGATATATTAAATTTATTAGTGATTTGTTTACTGTATGTTGACAACATGTCTGGCGCGACTTTCGCATTTTCTGGTGCTAATGGATAATCATTATGCAAATCATGTAATTCTTTTGGGTATTCAAGATCAACTTCTAATATTAATCCCTTTTTACTGTCTTCAGTATAAATACC